GGGGGGAGAGAGGGAGAGAGGGAGAGAGGGTTTCCTTTTGAAGCACAAGGCTACAAAATGTTTGTATCTGTTGGGTTTGTGTACAAGTTTCCTATAGAAATGGACAAAGAAGACTAGATAAGTGCCCTGCTACAACCACTTGTTGGGGAGCTCTCGTGGTCTTCACGTTAATCTGTTCGCCTCTCATTCTATAGGTTCCCGGTTGGTGTCCGGATAGCGACGGACAATTTCATCTCTAAAATGGTCTCCTTTCACCTCTTTTCCTGCTCTCTAACAAAGTTCTGCCGTCTGCTTTCGTCTCCATTTTCTGCCACACCCCCTCACCTCCTTTGGCCTCTCCTCTGGGCTCCTGACTCTTTCTGTAGCCTTTCTACTCCTTGGCAAGTTATAACTGCTGTCTTTCAGCCACACCCCTGGTTTTTTGTTGGTAATATCTACAACTGAACTTTTCGGATAAGGGCGAAAAATCTAGGAGGTCCCGTGTGCATGTTGCGCATATTAAAGATCATTTGGGAGTCCAAAAACCGATAGGAGTAGGCTGTGGCAGCCACCTGGGCAAAATTAAAATTTCCTTCCAACTGAAAATGTTTAGTGTGTCCCGCGCAATCATATTATGACCTTATGCAGGTGCGAGATCTTGTTGAAGTACCAGAGGTGAGTAATTACTTTAGGGCCTATATCTTCCCTCGTTCATGTCACTTTTTGTTTTCGCTCTATATATAAATATTGTGTACAATGAGCACTCTGTGTGTGTTTTGAATACAAAGAATGTAGTATAGGGACATATCGGGATCTGAGTATTTCTTCAGTATGTACGGTCTTTTTGTTCGCTGTGTGCATGCTAGAATGGCCTATGTATTGATTGTAACTATGTCTACTACAAGTAAGATGCTAACAGCATTGTCGCACAAACTTACCAATAGTATGTTTTATTTGTTGTTGTTTTCTGTAACACGAATCAGCTCACCCAACCCGTAACCAGCCTGGTTGTGTGTAGGCCTTGGGTGATGTCGCCATGCCCTTGAAGAGACCACGGACATTCCGCTGTCTTGTGTACTGCTCACGTTTATCAAAATCTGTAGCAAATATTCAATGACTCGCATCATGAAGAAAACAATAGCATTGAAAACTGAAACTCTTCTCCACTTGAACAATATATAGAAAATCCTCGAAAACCAAGTTTTTTAACCCAATTGTTTTACTGCTTCCGCCCGTTTCAACGAAAGTGGAAAAAAAGAAAAAAAAAAGAAGTAGGCTAGATTATAAATGAACAGATACTCAGAGGGAAGGTGTTTTGTTATTTTTGTTTACTCTTCTGCTTTATGTAGAAGATTCTGATAATGAAGCTGGTAGCACATAGATCTGGCCACACACATGGAAGTTTTCCCCAAGTCTTCTCATCTTCTCATAGATCTTGCATGCAAAATAATCTTTATTTTTCTTCTAGATAGTGACATCAGGAAAGTCTTTGTCTTTTTTAATGTAAACTATTTTTTGTCTACATTATTCCCTTATTTCCAACGCGGTGCCAGCACCTGAAACGACGTGGCACGTCACAAGCTTTTCCTCTCATAATCCAAAGGTCTTTCTGTGGCAAGGGTTTTTGTCCGTTTTCGTTTTAGTAAAAGTTTTACGGCACTTGCAACACATTTAGGTCACATAAGTGTCGAAGATTAGAGGTGTTACAAGAGAGTAACAAACACAAAAAAGAAGGTGGAGATCAGGACGATAGATGTTGTTAGGAAAAAAGGAGCAAACCACTCAAAAGCACCCACCAGCCACCCACCGGGTTTTGTCCTTATTCCCACAAGTGGGTGTCGACGTCATAACCCTTAGACAGAAAGACAGACAGACATACAGACAGACAAACAGGGCAGACTGACAGACAGACAGACAAACAGACAGACAGACAGACAGACAGACAGACAGACAGACAGACAGACAGACAGACAGACTGTGACCGAGGGAGACGGACGAGGGGCTGAGTCACACATGGCAGTTTTGGACTGGAAAATCCTTCCTGGTACTTAAAACTGTCGGTTACTTTTGTAGTTGTTGTTTTACGGCGCTCACAACTGCATAAGGTTATAATATGAGCGTGCGGCACACGTTAAACATTTTCAGTTAGTAGGAAATTTTGAATTTTGCCCGGGTGTGCTTTTTAATTTGTGGTATTGGCTGCTTATGCTTAAGAAAAGTTTAGTGGAAATTTAAATCTCAATTACCGGTAATGTTGAAAGAATCAAGAAAATAAACATTGTTTAAGTACAATATTTTTTCAAAGAATGAAAAGGTTTTTCTCCCTCCTGAAAAATGTTGCTCTCTGGGCTTTAAAAAAGTTGAAAGACTTGCCGTTGTCCTAATAATATATAATATGAGGCATCATGGGAAAATCAGGCGCTTGTCAAAATAAAACCTAAGAAACAGGCATTCTTACTCCCTTTTTTATGGGGGGGGGGCTATTTTCATCTAATTTTTGTTTTTTGAATCAACGCCTTTATTGCCCTTCTAAAAATACATTTCTGTGTATATTTTACTGAAAACAGTCGATAAAAGGCACAAAAATTGTAAATTTACACTTTCCAAGGACTCTCAGGCTATGAAAGGCACCCAACTTTGGCGGTCATTTTCTCGCTAATTTTACCTCAGAAATCAGGGGATCTCCACATCCTTTAGTCAAACATATCTCAACTTCTATTCAAAATATTTTTGTCATCTAAAGCAAGGCAAATGAACAGGCTTTGAGATGATAGCAGTAACTCTACTTGCCTGATTCCAGCGCGTCGTGACACATACTTCTTTTTGTCGATGAGGCGTCTGAGACGTTTGGGACATAAGCCGACTCATTGTCTTTCCCCGAATGTTGCCTAGCAGTAGTGATGTTTGTGAGATTGTACTTGTGTTTCAAAGTGGGAAAGCTCACAATGACGTTAGGGCCAGTTGTCTCATGTCTAGTTGCACAATGTTACGCTGTGCCTTCTACATTGATCTCATTGCTTGACTACAACCTGGGAAGGGGAGGGGGAAGAGAGAGGTTGGCTAGGTTGGGTTTTTTTCTTTTTGCAGTTTCGTTTAAAAAAAATAAAATTACCCGAACATTTTGAATTGACAATTGGAACTGTTCAGTGCAATGTGTGTTGTCTCTTTGATGTGTACTATCAATAGTATACCACCGTCTCATTTGTATGTTCCCTTTAACTCCAATGTCGCGCTGTGCTGAAATAGTTGAAAGAAAACACCACACGGTGTGTACGTTCTACCAGCAAGCATAGATGTAGATGTGTCTTAACGTGGTAGCTTCTGTCTGAAGTAATTCTCTTTTGTGAAAGTGAAAGTGATGTACACCAACAAACAATGCACATTCTTTTATGGGGGGTTCCAATACAGGACCGACATTTGGTAAACCACTTCAGTTCGTTGGTTTCCTTTCGTTATTTATTCAGATAGCGGAAGAAACGAACATGGTATAATGGCAGATGTGTCGTGGCTTTGGTCTGAGGTTTCTCTACAGTTATGTAAGCACTTTTCCGAGAAAATATGACGTGTTTTCTC